CAGGGTCACCACAGCATCATCCAGAGCGGGCATACAGGTGGCCGCCACAACGTCCTCCAGACCGGGCACACAGGTGGCCGCCACAACATCCTCCAGACCGGGCACACAGGTGGCCGCCACAACATCCTCCAGACCGGACACACAGGTGGCCGCCACAACATCCTCCAGACCGGGCACACAGGTGGCCGCCACAACGTCCTCCAGACCGGGCACACAGGTGGCCGCCACAACATCCTCCAGACCGGGCACACAGGTGGCCGCCACAACATCCTCCAGACCGGGCACACAGGTGGCCGCCACAACGTCCTCCAGACCGACACACAGGTGGCGCCACAACGTCCTCCAGACGGGCAACATGGCCGCCAAACGTCCTCAGAGCCGGTATCTCAGACCGGGCACACAGGTGGCCGCCACAACGTCCTCCAGACCGGGCAACAGGTGGCCGCCACAACGTCCTCAGACCGGGCACACAGGTGGCCGCCACAACGTCCTCCAGACCGGGCCACAGGTGGCCGCCACAACGTCCTCCAGACCGGGCAACAGGCCGCCACAACGTCCTCCAGACCGACACAGGTGGCCGCCACAACGTCCTCCAGACCGGCACATGGTGGCCGCCAAACGTCCTCCAGACCGGGCACACAGGTGGCCGCCAAACGTCCTCCAGACCGGCACAGGTGGCCGCCACAACGTCCTCCAGACCGCCACAGGTGGCCGCCAAACGTCCTCCAGACCGGGCACACGGTGGCGTCACAACGTCCTCAGACCGGGCACACAGGTGGCCGCCACAACGTCCTCCAGACCGCACACAGGTGGCCGCCACAACCTCCAGACCGGGCAACAGGTGGCCACAACGTCCTCCCAGGGGAACACAGGTGGCCGCCACAACGTCCTCCAGACCGGGCACACAGGTGGCCGCCACAACGTCCTCCAGACCGGGCACACAGGTGGCCGCCACAACGTCCTCCAGACCGGGCACACAGGTGGCCGCCACAACGTCCTCCAGACCGGGCACACAGGTGGCCGCCACAACATCCTCCAGACCGTGCGGCTATTCTTCCTGCAGCATTAACCTGTGAAATACCTAACTGGCAGGGGCATTTGCCGAGGCACTTACCGATGGACTCGCACTTGCCGAGGCACTTACCGATGGACTCGCACTTGCCGAGGACTTACCGATGGACTCGCACTTGCGAGGCACTTACCGATGGACTCGCACTTGCCGAGAACTTACCGATGGACTCGCACTTGCCGAGGCACTTCACCGATGGACTCGCACTTGCGAGGCCCTACCGATGGACTCGCATTGCCGAGGCCCTTACCGATGGACTCCGCACTTGCCGAGGCCCTTACCGATGGACTCCGCACTTGCCGAGGCCCTTACCGATGGACTCGCACTTGCCGAGGCCCTTACCGATGGACTCCGCACTTGCCGAGGCCCTTACCGATGGACTCGCACTGCCGAGGCCCTTACCGATGGACTCGCACTTGCCGAGGCACCTACCGATGGACTCGCACTTGCCGAGGCCCTTACCGATGGACTCCGCACTTGCCGAGGCACTTACCGATGGACTCGCCTTGCCGAGGCACTTACCGATGGACCTGCACTTGCCGAGGCACTTACCGATGGACGCACTTGCCGAGGCACCTACCGATGGACTCGCACTTGCCGAGGCACTTACCGATGGACCGCACTTGCCGAGGCACTTACCGATGGACTCGCACTGCCGAGGCACTTACCGATGGACTCCTGCATTGCCGAGGCACTTACCGATGGACTGCACTTGCCGAGGGCACTTACCGATGGACTTGCACTTGCCGAGGCACTACCGATGGACTGCACTTGCCGAGGCACTTACCGATGGACTCGCAGCACTTGCCGAGGACCTCGCACTTATGGATATACAAAAGACGAACTTACTGGACAGATTTCCGTTCTCAGGGATGGGGGAGGAAGCCACGTTGCCCTTCAGGATGGGGAGGGGCCATGTTGTCAGGGGATGGGGAGGAAGCCACGTTCTCAGAGGGATGGGAGGGAAGCCACGTTGCTCTCAGGGGATGGGGAGGAAGCCACAAGCGTTCTCAGGGATGGGGAGGAAGCCATGCTGCTCCCTAGGGATGGGGCCACAAGCGTTCTCTAGGATGGGGGAGGAAGCCACGTTGCTCTCAGGATGGGGAGGAAGCCACGTTGCTCTCAGGGGATGGGAGGGAAGCCAGAGTCTCAGGATGGTGGGGGGTGTAAGCCACAAGAGTTTTCAGGATGGGGGAAGGGGTGAGCACAAGCGTTTTCAAGATTATAGTGATTATGAAGGTGAAAGTAGGAGGTACAGGGGGGGTAGCGAACTGGCTGCACAAAGGAGCCCTGGATGACGGGGGCAACAAGGCACAGCGAGCCTGTGATGACGGGGGCAATACAAGCACAGCGAGCCGGGTGATGACGGGGCAATACAAGGCACAGCGAGCCTGTGATGGCGGGGCAATACAAGCACAGCGAGGCGGGTGATGAACGGGGGCAATAAGGCACAGCGAGCCTGGATGATGGGGGCAATACAAGGCACAGCGAGCCGTGATGACGGGGCAATAGCATGAAGGAGCCGGTGATGACGGGGGTACATAAGGCACAGCGAGCCGGTGATGACGGGGACATAAGGCACAGCGAGCTGTGATGACGGGGCAAGGCACAGGGAGCCGGTGATGACGGGGGTACATAGGCACAGCGAGCCGGTGATGATGGGGTACATTGAAATAAAGGAGAGCCGGTGATGACGGGGGCAAATACAAGGCACAGCGAGCCGGTGATGATGGGGGCAATACAAGGGACAGCGAGCCTGTGAGACGGGGGTACAAGGCACAGCGAGGCGGTGATGACGGGGGCAATAAGGCAAATGAGCCTGTCAGATGGGGGGTACATGCACTGTAGTGACAAGGGGACAATGCAAGGCACAGTGACAAGGGGACAATGCAAGGCACTGTAGTGACAAGGGGACAATGCAAGGCACTGTAGTGACAAGGGGGACAATGCAAGGCACTGTAGTGACAAGGGGACAATGCAAGACTGTAGCAAGGGGACAATGCAAGGCACTGAGTGACAAGGGGGACAATGCAAGGCACTGTAGTGACAAGGGGACAATGCACTAGTATAAGGAGGCAATGCAAGGCACTGAGGACAGGGGCAATGCAAGGCACTGTAGTGACAAGGGGGACAATGCAAGGCACTGAGGACAAGGGGACAATGCAAGGCACTAGTGACAAGGGGACAATGCAAGGCACTGTAGTGACAAGGGGACAATGCAAAGGCACTAGTGACAAGGAGACAATGCAAGGCACTGTAGTGACACGAAGGCACAGTGACACAAAGGCACTGTAGTGACAAGGGGACAATGCAAGCACTGTAGTGACATTGCAAGGCACTGTAGACAAGGGGACAACAAGGCACTGTGAAAGGACAAGGGGACAATGCAAGGCACTTGGTGAAAGGAAAGGGGACAATGCAAGGCACTGTAGTGACAAGGGGACAATGCAAGGCACTGTAGTGACAAGGGGGACAATGCAAGGCACTGTAGTGACAAGGGGGACAATGCAAGGCACTGAGGACAAGGGGGACAATGCAAGGCACTAGTGGATAAGACAATGCAAGGCACTGTAGTGACAAGGGGGACAATGCAAGGCACTGTGGACAGGGGGACAATGCAAGGCACTGTAGGGAACAGGATAAATGACACTGAAAGGACACTGCAAGGCACTAGTGACAAGGGGGACAATGCAAGGCACTGTAGTGACAAGGGGAACGTAAGTGCACTGAGGACAAGGGGACAATGCAAGGCACTGTAGTAAGGGGGACAATGCAAGGCACTGTAGTGACAAGGGGGACAATGCAAGGCACTGTAGGACAAGGGGACAATGCAAGGCACTGTAGTGACAAGGGGGACAATGCAAGCACTGTAGTGACAAGGGGGACAATGCAAGGCACAGTGACAAGGGGACAATGCAAGGCACTGTAGTGACAAGGGGGACAATGCAAGCACTGTAGGACAAGGGGGACAATGCAAGGCACTGTAGTGACATTGCAAGGCACTGTAGTGACATTGCAAGGCACTGTAGTGACATTGCAAGGCACTGTAGTGACATTGCAAGGCACTGTAGTGACAATGGGGACAATGCAAGGCACTGTAGTGATTTAGGCACTGTAGTGACATTGCAAGGCACTGTGAAAGACATTCAGGAACTGTAGTGACATTGCAAGGCACTGTAGTGACATTGCGCTGCAACTGTAGTGACAAGGGGACGCAAGGCACTGTAGTGACATTGCAAGGCACTGTAGTGACAAGGGACAATGCAAGGCACTGTAGTGACATTGCAAGGCACTGTAGTGACAAGGGGAACAATGCAAGGCACTGTAGTGACAAGGGGGACAATGCAAGGCACTGTAGTGACAAGGGGACAATGCAAGGCACTGTAGTGACAAGGGGACAATGCAAGGCACTGTAGTGACAAGGGGGAATGCAAGGCACTGTAGTGACAAGGGGGACAATGCAAGGCACTGTAGTGACAAGGGGACAATGCAAGGCACTGTAGTGACAAGGGGACAATGCAAGGCACTGTAGTGACAAGGGGACAACAAGGCACTGTAGTGACAAGGGGACAATGCAAGGCACTGTAGTGACAAGGGGGACAATGCAAGGCACTGTAGTGACAAGGAGGACAATGCAAGCACTGTAGTGACAAGGGGACAATGCAAGGCACTGTAGTGACAAGGGGACAATGCAAGGCACTGTAGTGACAAGGGGGACAATGCAAGGCACTGTAGTGACAAGGGGACAATGCAAGGCACTGTAGTGACAAGGGGACAATGCAAGGCACTAGTGACAAGGGGACAATGCAAGGCACTGATACGGGACAATGCAAGGCACTGTAGTGACATTGCAAGGCACTGGACATGCAGCATGTAGTGACTTTGCAAGGCACTAGGTGACATTGCAAGGCACTGTGTGACAAGGGGGTCAATGCAAGACGCGGTGGGCCTGAGAGTGGGGCGGGTCAATGCAAGACACGGTGGGCCCGAGGGGCGGGTCAATGCAAGACACGGTGGGCCCGAGTGGGGCGGGTCAATGCAGAGCGTGGGCCCGAGTGGGGCGGGTCAATGCAAGACACGGTGGGCCCGGAGTGGGCGGGTCAATGCAGACACGGTGGGCCCGGAGTGGGGCGGGTCAATGCAAGACACGGTGGGCCCGAGTGGGCGGTCAATGCAAGACACGGTGGGCCCGAGTGGGGCGGGTCAATGCAAGACACGGTGGGCCCGAGTGGGGCGGGTCAATGCAAGACGCGTGGGCCTGAGTGGGCGGTCAATGCAAGACGCGATGGGCGAGGGGGCGGGTCAATGCAAGACGCGTGGCCCGAGTGGGGGCGGGTCAATGCAAGACACGGTGGGCCCGAGTGGGGCGGGTCAATGCAAGACGCGTGGCCCGAGTGGGGCGGTCAATGCAAGACACGGTGGCCCGAGGGGCGGGTCAATGCAAGACACGGTGGGCCCGAGTGGGGCGGGTCAATGCAAGACACGGTGGGCCCGAGTGGGGCGGGTCAATGCAAGACACGGTGGGCCCGAGTGGGGCGGGTCAATGCAAGACGCGGTGGGCCCGAGTGGGGCGGTCAATGCAAGACACGGTGGGCCCGAGTGGGGCGGGTCAATGCAAGACGGTGGGCCCGAGTGGGCGGGTCAATGCAAGACACGGTGGGCCCGAGTGGGGCGGGTCAATGCAAGACGCAGTGGGCCCGAGTGGGGCGGGTCAATGCAAGACACGGTGGGCCCGAGGCGGGTCATGCAAGACACGGTGGGCCGAGTGGGCGGGTCAATGCAAGACACGGTGGGCCCGAGGCGAAATGCAAGCGGTGCCGAGTGGGGCGGGTCAATGCAAGACACGGTGGGCCCGAGTGGGCGGGTCAATGCAAGACGCGGTGGGCCCGAGTGGGCGGGTCAATGCAAGACACGGTGGGCCCGGAGTGGGGCGGGTCAATGCAAGACACGGTGGGCCCGAGTGGGCGGGTCAATGCAAGACACGGTGGGCCTGAGTGGGGCGGGTCAATGCAAGACACGGTGGGCCCGAGGTGGGGTCAATGCAAGACGCATGAGAGTGGGGGCGGGTCAATGCAAGACACGGTGGGCCCGAGTGGGGCGGGTCAATGCAAGACACGGTGGGCCCGAGTGGGGCGGGTCAATGCAAGACACGGTGGGCCCGAGGGGCAGTAATGCAAGACACGGTGGCCCGAGGGGCGGGTCAATGCAAGACACGGTGGGCCCGGAGTGGGGCAGTATGCAAGACACGGTGGGCCCGAGGGGCGGGTCAATGCAAGACACGGTGGGCCCGAGGGGGCGGGTCAATGCAAGACACGGTGGGCCCGGAGGGGCGGGTCAATGCAAGACACGTGGGCCCGAGGGGGGCGGGTCAATGCAAGACACGGTGGGCCCGGAGGGGCGGGTCAATGCAAGACACGGTGGGCCCGAGTGGGCGGGTCAATGCAAGACACGGTGGGCCCGAGTGGGGCGGTCAATGCAAGACACGGTGGGCCCGAGTGGGCGGGTCAATGCAAGACACGGTGGGCCCGAGTGGGGCGGGTCAATGCAAGACACGGTGGGCCCGAGTGGGCGGGTCAATGCAAGACACGGTGGGCCCGAGTGGGCGGGTCAATGCAAGACACGGTGGGCCCGGAGGGGGCGGGTCAATGAAGACACGGTGGGCCCGAGTGGGGCGGGTCAATGCAAGACACGGTGGGCCCGGAGTGGGGGCGGTCAATGCAAGACACGGTGGGCCCGAGTGGGGCGGGTCAATGCAAGACACGGTGGGCCCGAGTGGGGCGGTCAATGCAAGACACGGGGGCCGAGTGGGCGGGTCAATGCAAGACACGGTGGGCCCGAGTGGGGCGGGTCAATGCAAGACACGGTGGGCCCGAGTGGGGCGGGTCAATGCAAGACACGGTGGGCCCGAGTGGGCGGGTCAATGCAAGACACGGTGGGCCCGAGTGGGGCGGGTCAATGCAAGACACGGTGGGCCCGGAGTGGGGGCGGTCAATGCAAGACACGGGGGCCCGTGGGGCGGGTCAATGCAAGACACGGTGGGCCCGAGTGGGGCGGGTCAATGCAAGACACGGTGGGCCCGAGTGGGGCGGGTCATGTGACGCAATGCCTTTGAGAAAAGGGGGACAATGCATGCCAATAGGCCCAGTGCTAATATGAACACCTTTGTGGACTGCTTAATGGTCATTGTCAAGTGGTCATGCAAAAATGGCCATGTAAGTGGCCATATTTTAGAGAAGTCCTGTGTGGACAAAAGCTCAGCAGCCATACACTGGCTATACATTCAGAAGTACAGTTGACATTCACAATATATAATGATCATCGTACCTGCAGACTGTAGACTGTAGTGGTGGTGGTGTGTAAGCTGTCCCTCGAAGAGCTGTAGGGGGCACTTACCTGCAAGAGAAGTACATTTGTTATTCTAAAGTTCCACAGGACAAAAATGGGTTGATTTTTACCTTCATATCCACTGATGAACTTTAAACCCAACTAGAATGAAAATACAGTAACAACAAGTAGGCTGTGGCTTCAGTACAATAACGCAACTAAGGTTAAAATTCATTCGTCCATTGGCTGTAGGCACGTTTCCCCCATGTTTACAAGAGGCCATACTTCTTACTTAGTCACTTGTCTCCTCCTGTGTAGGTTTGGTTGACATGAGAATTTTTGTAACTAAAACCTTAATTCCATTTTTGTGCATTTTTTTGGAGGGACCGCTAATTTGCACAATATATATATATATATATATATATATATATATATATATATATATATATATATATATATATATATATATATTATTTTTATATTTATTTTTATTTTTTTATATAATATAATAAATATATATATATATATATATATATATATATATATATATATATATATATATATATATATATATATATATATATATATAAGAAAAGAGAAGAGCCAATGGACGAATATTTTCTGCAACAAATTTTGGTAAGGGGCAAAATACTTTACTATTGTATTTCCACTCTAAGCTGGCCCACAAGCCCTGCCCCCTCGTCTTCTTATAGTCTTTGCTACAAATAGCAGACTGGTTCCAATTAGCATTTTACCGTCCCCTGGACTGCGCGTATATAAGCGCTTATTTATATCGACTTTTAATTAAAAAAAATATAAAACATTCCTACATCCTCCCGGAAGTGCTAATGCCTTGAATTTACTTGCATTTTGATAATCCATATATATTTAACTTCTTAGGTAACAGGTCTGCTTACCAATTGTGAATACAGTTTAAATTTTCTATGAACCAATCGGCTATTAGTATAAAAGAGGGGCGGGGCCTATGAGCTAGGTTAGTGTTCATGAGCCATATGGAACTCACCTTATGACGACGGATGGCCAGTCGCTGTGTTGATCCTGAACAGCTCCAGCCGGTGTAACTACCAAATGAACCAGTACGGACCCAAGTGTAACCCAAATGAACCAGCCTAACGATCCTAACATCCTAACGCGCCCTAACTGTTCTGATACACTTGAGTCCACCTGGGTTCGCACGGGTCCATTAGGGTGTCTGACAAAACCAGTCCTTGTGACGGACTAATTCTGCCTTCCGGGGGCCGTTATGCTTACTGGGACCGCCTCGCCTGGAAATATATAAATTTTTAGTCTAAACTCTCAACTTAACCCTTTACTAAATGAAAGTTTGCTCTTTGTGATACAAATTCTTTTTGCCCTAAAATTAGCAATTTACCTTGTAAGCTGCTCAGTACTCTGGACTATGACGAATTTAAAAACCATTATGTACCTTTTCCAGGAATAAGCATTCGTCACTAACTTAGGCTAAGTACAGCCTGGTAGTTTAATCTGGCAAAACTTCACTCATTAGCGTTTAAGGTAGTAAATAAATGTTCAAGAGGCAAACTGCATAACTATCTTCCAATTTCATGTTCTCGGCAAAATCCCCGGCTTGTAAAGTCTTTGTGATTTAGCCGGCAGGTTTAAAAATCAAATCTACAAAATTAATATTTGCTCTATAACCACAAAAATCATATAACAAGAATATTAACTCGCTAGTCTTACCTTTAGTTTTCGTTTTCATGGGATTAAAACACTTTAGAAGAATATCAAGCCTCGTCACTTTGCTAGCCGCACTGCACCCGGTCAATCCTCCTCGCACAATGGCGCTCTGTCTTGAAGAGGGTCTTGTATGCTCTCGTTTTGAATCCCATATGAACTACCAGGCGCCGTTCAAAGTTTTGTCCGATTATCCTGACTTGACTTCGATAGCATTTAGTTCTTCTATATAATGTTTTCTCTAGATCAGTTTTCCTGTATGTATACATATAATTTTATTATTCTACGAGTTTATTTGGTTAGAAAAGAGTTTATTGACAATTTATTTAAAAATTATCCTGCCCATGAAAAATTGATAACTGAAATACTGTATTTCGGACAACACATGTTCATTGTACCGAGTCTCTGAAGTGGTTCGAACTTCGGAGTTGAAAATTTCGTAATTTGTCTCAATGTTACGGCTTTAGGAGACAACGTTGGAGGTAGATTTAATTACTGTTCACATAAGCATGCTATACCTGTTTACTAGTAAATTCCAAGTTGGAATATTGTAGGGCGATTTCTCCTTTAAAAACTATTTATTAATGCATCATGAGGTTTTTAAAGCAACAGCAGGAAAATAATACTCACGCTTTCGAACGTGGTGTTTATTACGGTAAATAATTTGTAAGAAAAATCTAATATACTTGTGACGTGCTGCTAACTAATTAGCGCAATAAAATATTTTCTTATAAAATATTTTCATGAAGATTTCAGAAAGTATTACAATATTAATATACATTACTAGTGAGATATTTACCGACCATGCGGCTCTCGAACTGTACTGAATTAAGAGCTAATTTAATAATTACTTTTAAAACTAATTCAGCATTTGATTTCCAGAATAATATATATATATATATATATATATATATATATATATATATATATATATATATATATATATATATATTTAAAAGTTATTGATTAACTGAAAAAATTTTTTTGCCTTTAGTGAGACGTCTGAACTTACAGAGTAACGTCGAGGATGGTGGCCAAGAGAAAATGTGCTTTGTATTTAATGTATAGTTCATCGGCCTTTCAATTTAGAATATAATGACAAATAAGTTTATCTTTAACCAAAATTTTGATAAGGTATAATTGAAGAAAGAGAAATCGACGAGAGCAGTATTAGGGAATGTGAAAATGGTGGTGAGTCCTTAGCTGCCGTCTTCCCTCCCGCCATTTTTATTGCTTCTTAACACTGATAATATACGCTACTCTAAATCTATTTTGCTAGAGCCAATATGCTTGGTCGGTGTAGAGTATAAACGCCCCTCGTGCGTATGGGTCGATTTGATTACAATAATCATAAAGACAAACCAAATATCGCGGGTGTTGATACAGCAGCAAGAAACCTCGCCTCTCAACACCTGACTTGACCCGGATTTGCTAATCCCTTGGGTTGGATATAAGAGGTGTTGATAAGTATGAGCTAAACATGGCAGGTTTTCCCCAGCTATTCCAGTGTTTTGTACAAACACTGGTCCCATGGGATTAACCCTCGTTCGCGCCAGTTGTCAGAATGGTTTTAACATCAAAATCTTCCATAACTAATACTATTGGTGAGACCTCTGGAGTTCCTTAACATGCTAAACTTGTGTCAAGTATCCCAACCAAAGACTATTTAAGAAAGACAGGAAAGCAAGGCGAAAACCGCGTAAGCCACATAACGTATAGTTGGCCGCGGGATCAACAGATGGTGCTAGTGTGCAAAGAGCGACTGTAAGTCGTCTGCTTGTTTGCACGAAAACAGGACCTGAACCATGAGTGGGCAGATCACCCTGAGCTTGTGATTCACGTTTTCCCCATAGGCAGAAAAAAGTAATAGCACTACTGTTTTTAATGTACGTATATTAAGGGAAATAGATAACGAAAAGTTAAACATATCGAAAATTTGGTGTTCGCAGCAATGTATTTCAAGTCGTGGGCGAATCCTAATCAACATAGAGCCCATTTTTAGTAATATATTTTCTATATAGCATAATTATAACCAGTGAAATGTATTGCCTTGTTGGCAAGTGTTTAATGTTGTAAAAAATACAAGCATAAAAAAGCAAGTATTGCCAAGAAAAAGTTCCAAACATGTCACTATCATGCCCATTTTCACACAAACATACCATGAATAGAATGTGAGTAGTCAGCAGGTATTGTTTTCTTATATTTACATTAAGTACTACAATTTAATGTCGTTTAAATTTTTCTTGTATAACAGTACAAATAATTTTGATGTCACACTATGCTCTCAAATTATACAGTATCTGAATACCTGTGATGAAATAAAACACCAATTTGCCAGACTGCACCTTTAATACCCTTCTCCCTCCCTTTGTTTATCTATCACTCCCTCTGTCGATCTACCTCTCTACTGTGCCAGTCAGCCTACCTGCCAAACTTTCTATAAATATCAGCCAATCAATCTATAAAACAATAAAAATCATTGTTTTAATATATATATATATATATATATATATATATATATATATATATATATATATATATATATATATATATATATGTGTGTGTGTGTGTGTGTGTGTGTGTGTGTACGTATAGAAGGCATTATAGTACACTATATTCATATCATGTATGTTTCGGAAGTATGTAATTATAATTATATTGCATGAACATTCGACTCAATATTAAATTATAATACTGTATTATGATGTTGCTATATATCATTGATCATATAGAATTTACTGTGTGATATTGTATGTGTGTGTCCATGTGTACACATGAAGAACGTCAAGGCAAAGACGTCAAGGTAATTATCAGCTAACTCAACTGGTTACCATGGAAACATGGACACGCGCTCCTGGCTTTTAGTTAGCCGCGTTGCCAACAGATGGTGTTGATCAGAGCTCAGTGGCTCACGTTTTTTATCGATAAAGGTATACGCTTTCCCGTCTTTCATATATAGTCTTTGATTCCAACAAAGCATCTCGCAGTGCTCGGCCAGACTCACCAAACAATTATGGCCGTTATATGTTGTTGTTGAAATACTTGTTGTGACGAATAATAAGTATGATTTTA